GGGGGCGGGGGGCGTAGGGACGATCCGGGCTCGGAGTGAGTTTTTAAACATTATTCTCTCTTCCCTTTCTTTGGGGACAGGCGGCCCTTTGGGATCTGTCCCGGACTTCTCGGGCTGCAAGAACTTGTTGACAAGTGGAAGCTCAGTGGAACCCCGGCTTGGTTTGTGTGTTTGTCTTTTACAAAGCGACTCTTCCTATTCGCGCCGGACCCTGTCTGTGGCCCTTCGGGGACATCGCTGTGGTCCGCGCGCTGACAGCCGCCGTCCGGGCTGCGGGAAGACGGGGTGCGCCCTCCGGAGGGGGGTGGCGCGAGTAGCCGTGTCTATGCTCATTTCCTCCGTAACCTTTAAACTCTCGCTGGAAGCCGCGGCGGCTGGTCACGTGAGGCGAGCCCTGGGCTGCTGGGGAAGAATTTCCTCCGCGGGGAGCCGGGGCTGGGAAGGCAGCCGGGCGAGGGGCCGCCCCGTGCGGGGGGACCGGGAACCTGGAGGGTGGGGCTCGGGACGCGGCCCTGCCGAGACATCAGGGAAAGGGGTCGTCTCCGCAGCCTGGGAGCTGGGGGGCGGGGGAGGGGGGAGAGCGAGGAGGTTGTTCACGTGGAAAAAGCAAACCTCCGCCCTCACCCCTCTGCTAAGTCAAGTCAGAGTTTGGAGGCACTGTGGTCAACTGAGTGTTTTATCTGGAGGGTCTGGTTAGCCTAGACCAAAATTTAAAGCCCGCCTCCGGGACACTTTTTCCGCAGTGGGTAAAGGTTATCATTGCCTGTGGCTTAAAGGCTTAAAGAGGCTTAAAGGCAAGGAAAGGATGCAGTCCCTGGGACACGGGCTATCAGGTGCAGCACACAGGTCCCAAAAATGATCAGAAAAATCCCAAAGGCCACGGTGGCGGATCCCCTCTTCTCATAAGCATGCAAAGTCTCTCTGGAGCTTACCAGGATGGTAATTTCTCGTAGCCTGCTCCCTTGAATGGGGCAGGGGATAGAAAGGGTGCTAAATTGTAGTCTCAGGGAACACTGAGAGAGTTCACATGTCCAATGTCGGGATTTAAAAGGTTGTGCCTTACATGGTCACTCCCCCCAGCGGGAGGCATGATATTTTAAAATGTATCTCATTGCTGTTTACTTTTTATTTCTTTGGTCATTAGAATTTTCCCCTCCTTGCTTCTTAACTACCATTCTATTCTTCCAAAGTCTTTTCCCCCTGCACCAGGCACGTAATGAAAGGAAATGGCACATAAGGCTTGATCTTCTGAAAAGGCATCTGGGAAGCAGGGCCCCTACTATAGTTAGGTCGGTGAGACACATTTCCAAGAGGCAGAGATTAGAGAGTACCAACACAATCAGTCATCAAGATGGTGCTTTAATGCGATTTTTTTTCTTCTCAAGTTGGAATCTCACTCCATCACCCAGGCTGGAGTGCAGTGGCACGCTCCCAGCCAAAGCAGCCTCAACCTGCTGGGCTCAGGCGATCTTTCCGCCTCAGCCTTTCAGGTAGCTGGAACTACAGGCACATGCCACCACACCCAGCTAATTTTCGATTTATTGTAGAGACGAGGTCTCACCAAGTTGCCCAGGCTGGTCTCAAACCCACAGTCCAGGCAATCGACTCACCTCCGTCTCCCAAAGTGCTGGGAATACAGGCTGAGCCACGGAGCCTGGTCTGCTCCAGATTTCATGGGAAAAGAAAAGCAAACCCTTGCAGAGGGAGGGCTTGGAGTGTAAAATTCCCATCAACCATTATCACCTGCTTCCTCCTCTTCTTGGCCCCTGTGTGCAATCCTAAAGCACAAGACAGTGGCTGGTGAATACGTTGAGTAAAATATCCTTTGGGTTTTAACTATGGCCTGATGATTCTGTAATCTTTGCGAGAGGGAAGAGGAGAGGGAGAAAACCGGTGTATGAAATCAACAAAGATGGTCAAGATGGGGACCCTCTCCTTTCCAACTAAGGGCTCATGGGAAAAGAATTAATAGAAAGCAAGCATGCCCGGCAGCGTGATCAGTGTTGCAGTGTATCCAGAGATGGGACGGAGAAAGGATCAACCCTTTCCCTGGGGGAGACTGGGAATAAAGGCCACACCCAGAGCAGTCCTTTGCGCACCTCTGAGCCCAGTCTAGGCTTTCCAGTAGGAGTTCCTCCGGCAGCAAAGAGGAAGTGGAAGGGCATTGGAGGCAAAGGGAACAGAGTGTGCAGCGCACATGTACGAAAGACATATGCATAGTTATCTGGGTGCGTGACCAGGTGTGCCTGGCTTGTGGCAGGTAGTAACAGGAGATGAGGTAGGTTGGAACCTGATAGGTAAGGTCTCATAGTGCCTGCAGATGGATCTGAGCTTTTTCCTGGAGAGACACTGAATATTCCAGTGGGCGAGCAGCCTCACTGGAGTCAATACTTGATAAAAGCAATTTTATGGTGGCTTTTTCCCTTCTATAATTTTTGCCCAGAAGACTCACCTCAAAACACGGTGTTAGAGAAAGAGAGGACCCAAGTCTGAAGGTGATCCATACTCTATATGATCACAAATGAAACTGTCTGTGGATATCCTTTCGACTGGCTAAAGGAGGCTGGGAAGGTGGGGCAGAACCCTAGACTGACATGTTAATATTCATATCCTTGGTGCCATTTATAGAATGTTAATGGACTTCTGCAAAGGTCTGCCTGGTTCAGGTCCATCACACATTCCACACATGCTCCTCTGAACAGAATCCAACCACCTGGGCCATGACATGGAATGTGCAGCCACACGACCACACAGAAACCTTCCAGAGCTCCACCAGCCTGGCCCCAGTGCAGCCCCCACCCAACTGCCAACCCCACTTCTGACTTGGCCCCAGGCCCACCCTGCTGTTTCTGACTCTTGTTCCACCTGCTATTTCTTCTTATTTTGGCCCCATCTCTGCTCTGAACTCTGTTGCAGTGACCCAGAGGCCAAGCTTCATCTACACCTCTAAAGAGATGGAGGGATAGGAGGTAGCTCCATGAGGCTTAATGATGGATGCAGGAGGAGCTGGCCTAGTGACCCTCCTTCCTCAGTGCCCTCGATCGTGAACCCCACTCTAGAGCACCATATGGACATATGGAGAGTAACATCACATACCTCATCTTCTTTGACTCAGATATTGGGCTGTGTCTTGGGACTTTTAAGTACACACATTAATCCAAGGGTTTCTTTGTTGTTGTTGTTGTTTTTTGTTTTTGAGTTGGAGTCTCACTCTGTCGCCTAGACTGGAGTGCAGTGGCCGCTCCCGGCCACCTGCTGGGCTCCGGCGATCCTTATGCCTCAGCCTTCCAAGTAGCTGGAATTACAGGCATGCGCTACCACGCCCGTTTGATTTTTTGATTTATTGTAGAGATGAGGTCTCACTGCCCAGGCGGGTCTCGAACCCGCGGGCTCAGGCAATCCACTCACCTCAGCCTCCCAAAGGCGCGCGATTACAGGCTGAGCCACCGAGCCCGGCTCAAAACTCATTATTTTAAGGGTTTTATGTACTATGGTAGGCCAAATATGAACAACCAAAGCCTTCCTCTTTGAGTTAGGAGATAGACTTAGTTCCTTAGGTCAATCAGTAAAGCAATAAAATGAGAAAATTTCCCATAACTGAAGAATACAAGGGCTCACTAAATATCAAGCACAAAAAATTAAAACAAACAAAAATCCACATCAGGGCCTAACCTATCATCATAAAATTGCAGAACATCCAAATAAAGTAAAAATCCTAAGTT